GGCCATTCAAAGGGACAAGCGTGGTCTTGGGCACAGGTCTGGCATTGTGGGGCATGCCATGTTTGGGGTGATGACTGGTCCACCTTATACCTTCCCTTCCCCTGAGTGGCAAATTCCTGTGCCTAGCCCCTGGCAGCTGGGGAATGCCCTCTGACCCCACATGCTCTGTTCTTTTCCCACCTGCTGTGTTCTTTCCCTACCTGTGTCCCTAAAATACGTTCTGTCCAAGGGGATAAATTGGGTCATAGTTTGGCCTTTGGTCCTAGCCATAGCTGTAATCCCCGGGATGACGTTGGGGAAGCCTCATCCTGTATTAGGCTTTGGGTTTCTCCCTTGTGCAATTAGAGTAATAATTCTGGCTCCTGTCATATCTTAAAAGGATGTGGTGGGATTGATTAATCAGATCAGGGGGGTGGGGGGAAGAAGAGTCTGAAGTGACTCTGTTTCTGAAAATTAAGGGCTGTAGCACCGCAGTTACACTTGGATTGGTGAGCGTGCTTCATTACTTGTGCAAGTGTGTGCACTTCAGTGTGTGTGTATGTGCTGGATGTGTGTGTTGGATGTCAGCCCATGTGTGTATGTTGGTGTGTGTGTGTGTATGTGTGTGAGCGTGCTTCATTACTTGTGCAAGTGTGTGCACTTCAGTGTGTGTGTATGTGCTGGATGTATGTGTTGGATGTCAGCCCATGTGTGTATGTTGGTGTGTGTGTGTGTATGTGTGGTGTGTGCACACCCTCGTAGAGGGAGGGATCTGCCTCACAGCCTCCCCACCCCCTTTGCTCTCTCGGATATGAAGGTTCTGGGCCCCCTATTCTCTCTTACAGACTTGATCCTGGAGTCCCTTAAGCCCCCTGGGGAGGTGACTGAATGGCAGGTTCAGATGAGGAAAGCTAGTGGCTTGCAAAGGCCTAGGGCATTTGAGATTGAGCCTGGCCTCTCTTGCCTCCGGTCTTACTCTTCTCCCCAACCCCACCCTCACCCTCCAGTTACTTCTTGAGGTTCCTAGCTTGCTGTGTTCATTCTCACCTTCAGAACTTTGCATCTGCTCTTTATTCCCTTAGTTTGGACTCTTGTCCCTTTCCACCTGTCCCTTTACAGGGACCTCCAAGCTTCCTTTAGGAATCAGCTTAATATTCTCTTCCCCTCACACCCAGCCCCTGCCGTGAGTCCCCACCTTGCCCCATTCTCTCCCACTTCTGGCACACACCACACCTTATTGTAATTGCTTGTTTCATTGTCTGTCCCACCTGCCAGAGTATGAGCTCCATAAAGACACAGCCCTTCCTGTCTGTCCTCCTCATAATTGCCCAGCAAACCACCTGCCACCTAGTTGGGGCTTGGTACATATTTAAATTAATCGTGAATGAATGAATGAATGGATAAGCAAAAATGTTCAATGACGGGCAAGTGAGGACCCAGTGCTCTTGATGCCCGTGTTCATTGTGTAGATTCCCGACCCACAACTCCACCTTCCGTGGGATTCCCTTCTGACTACCCCTTCAGCACCATTGTGCTGATGGGACAACAGGTTCCTCTGGGCTGCTTGATCTATCCTGGGATTCAACAGGAGACTTTGTCCGAGCATCTGGTTGCACTTCAGAGAAGCAAACACAAGAGCTCAGCTTCTGAACAGTGGCCTCTGGGAAAGAACTCCCCACCTGGGCTGCTGGCATCACCAGCTGCCTGCGGCTCCCATCCATCTCTGCCTGTGATTCCCGCCTGAGTCGTCCCTGCTTGTCTCCATCTCCCCCACCAGGTTGGGTCCTGGCTCCGGTGCACAGGGTGGGGCAGCTGCCCTTCCCAGCTGTCTCCCTCCAGCCTCTGGCTCCCAGGAGAGCCGCCCCTCTCATGCTCCCTGCAGTGGCGGTGGCAGCAGGTTTGGAGGCAGCAGCTCTCTGAGCCTGACGTCGCCACCTTCTGGCCGTCCTGACCCTTGCTGCGTTCAGCTCTCCGTCCCTGCCACCGTTGCTGTTACTGCTGCTGCTGCCGCCGCTGCAATATTTTCTAACAACCCAGGGACCCCAGGTAGGAATCGTGTCCCAGATGACACGGTGTGCTGCTCCCATGAGGGTCTGCTCCTGTTGGATGTTCCAAATAAGTTTCCCCTGAGAAAAAGTGCAAGGGGGGTGCTACCTGTCTGACTGTGTCGCTGTCCCTCCAGGGACTCTTCCATGAAGACTGAGGCAGAGCTGCTGAGAAGAGCCTACTGACATGACATCAGCCACGGAGTTTGAAAACGTGAGCAGCCAGCCACCGTACAGCCGGATCAATGCACGCTGGGATGCCCCAGATGATGAGCTGGATAATGACAACAGCTCGGCCAGGCTCTTCGAGAGGTCTCGGATCAAGGCCTTGGCAGGTACCATTTGGGGATAGGGAGTTAGGGGAGCATTCCACAGTCCCGCAGTTCACACCCCTCCTATCTGCAGGGAATCGTCTGTGTTGGGGGAGTGAGCCCCAGCATGGCAGTGATGGAGATGCGTTTGCCTGGCCCAAAGGGGCTGGGCACCCCCAACCCCCACCCCAGGAGGGAGCATGGCACAGGCAGCCTCTGCTCCAAGCGTCCCCCAGTTCCTCCCAGGTGCCTCTGAGAGGCAAGGATGTGCTGGAGTTGGTGCCAGGTGGGCTCTGCCCTCTACCTCTATCCTGAGTAATCTGTGGCCAAATTTACAAGTCCAAGAAAGTCTGGACGAGTGTCAAGGGGCTGGGCAGCCAGGCACAGGTGCATGGGGCCTCACTGTGCACCCGATTCCCTGCCTGGGCCTGGAGAGAGGAATTATCATCATCCTCTCTGTGGTCCCAAAAGAAGAGTAATTCGAGAAGAAATTGAGAACAGATAACATTATCTCCGCACTGCCTCAGGAAAGAGGATTTTCTGGAAGAAACCTCTCATCCTTAAACTGGAATTAGATTTTGACTTAGCAGGTTCATAATAGATTTCTGTGCGTTTGGGTGCATGCGTGCATGTGTGTGTGTGTGTGTGTGAGAGAGAGAGAGAGAGACAGAGAGACAGAGAGAGAAAGAGAGAGAGAGAGAGAGAGAGAGAGAGAATAAGAGAATGAGAATGTCTTAAATCTGTAGTAGAAATGGCTTCTCCTCCCCCTACTGGCTGAAATCTGAATCTCGGGATTGTTTTTTTTTTTTTTTTCCACCAACCCTATAACTATTGCATTCCCAGGGTAACTATATTCTGACCCCAAGTCCTTGTCCAGTAAAGAAAGTTTGAGTTATGTGGGTGTGTGGAGGGGGTGAATTCCTTCATCTGATCCATCAGTCAGTAACCCAGATCGAACTGTTTCCCCATCCTTGATTGGTCCCCTCTTCTGCCTTATGAGAAGAGCACAACCTTTCCCATAAATATTTTCTGGAGTGACCCTCCCACTGCCCCCATCCCTTATGGCCCTAATTTAAGTTCACGGTGGTCCTCTTCTGCCTTCTCTCCCTCCATTCCCCTCCCAGGTACCGTGGTCCCCAGCTGACCTGGAGGCATGAGTGGGGCCCGGGGCCCCTCTGGAACCATGAAGACCTTTCACCTTGGGAATGTCTGGGCTTCCCATCCCATGAAAGGAACATGGTGCCTCATCTCCCTCGCCATGATGGGGCATCCACTTGTCTCAGCCATCACCCTTCATGTCCTTGTTCTTTATAGAAACTCAGTTTCTTCTTCCTTCATCTCCTTCCCAGCTTCCCTGACCCCACAAAATCCTTCCTTGGTTTTCCTTGGGAACAGATCATAGCAGTGACCCCTTGCTTTTTGCCTATGCAGTTTTAATCTCTAAATAATGAAACTTCTAACCCTTGGGTTTGTCGGTCTGGGTTGACCTTCTTTATGTCTTTGTGCTGGCTGGACTTGGAGGCAATGATCCTGGTGAAACGGGTTGAGGGGGTCCCCTATTCTGTAAGGTGTGTTGAAGGATGGTGTGAGGAGTGGGGACTGTCCTTTGTGCAGAGATCCTATGATCTGTTTCACAGAAACCCTATTTTTTTTTTTTTTCCTTTTTTTGTCTTTTTTCGTGTCCGGCAACGGACCGCAACCCTCAGTGTCGCGCCCGTACCGGACCGGGACCGGCAACGGGATCACAACCCTCAG